GCCAAATCCTTCAAGCCTCTCTATTACCAGATTGCCTTCTGCATTCAGTAAGGGAACGGTTTTCCTTGATCTTTTTCCACTGACATACTTGCAAAATTCTTGTTTTATTACCTTTTGCATGCCATGCTAGTTGCAACTCATTGTGCCTTGCCCTTCTGCTTCTTTTGTTTTGGCCCATGTAATATTCTTATACTCTTGCCTAATTTTCACTTGCATTTGATAACCTCCAGTGCTAACACATGAGTGGATCATAATGACTGTGTCATTGTCTCTCTAAAGTCTTTCTACAGGAATGATTCCAGTCTCAGTAAGGCTCATTACTAGCCAGGGAAGGAATTTTTCATTCATTTTTATTTATACACTTCCTAGTCTCTGAACAGTCCCACTTACAAAATAAAAAGCAGGTCTATCAGCTGTGATTAACAAAGGATGGTACAGGTGGGTTAGCACCCAAAGCATGCACCTGGGAAGAAAATGAGCAGGGCTGAATCGAGTGTTCTAAAAACACATTTTAGCTGAAATAATTTAATACTGTTTTACAGAATGCCTCTAAGCACTTGTTTATGAAGAAAATCCTCTTGGTTGAAGAGGCTTTAGTGCACATTTGTTTGCGACGGTTTGATTGGGGGTAGACGTGTAAACATTGGACACAAGAGAGCCTAGGGAGAGATGAAGTGGATGGGGTGGATATGACTCTATTCCCCTTCAGATCAACTGCTCCCCTTCCTGCACGCAGGTTAACACATCTCCAGCAGGAGACTTCAGTCTCACATACTGATAAAGGCTTGATTTTACAGCCTTTATTTATGAGAGTAAGAGGTCAGAGCCTCTGGTTTGCAACTGTTGTGCTGCCTACTGCCCCACAGATCTGATATTACACTTATATGTGCTATTTATATACATTTCTCTGGAAGACTACAATAGGGGTCTTTGTTTGAAAGAGGCATTCAACAGACTGGTACCTAAGTTCTCTGGCAAGTTGCCTGGGAAGGAATGGCTCAATGCTACAGAGCTAGAGGACACTGTAATACATTTATGAAGTAAGTGACGCTCTCCTTGTACTGTGTAAACAAGCATTATACTTGCACAGAGTAATAATGGGTTTCTCATCACTGTTAACAGCATGATTCTAGTAATTAAGCCAAATAAGCCCAGTAAATGATGCATCAATGGTAGGCTCCAACAAAGAATAGTCAATTTAAATAATTAACCAGTCTTTATGGTATGACCATCTTCATGTCACAGCAAAGTTGTTGTGCACTGGATAACATTACAAAGAAAGAAAAAAAAATCCCCGTTTAAGTTTTAAACTAAAATGAGCTCATCTTACTCTTTATGTAGGCGTCTAACAAAAATTAAAAATAAGCTTACTCCTGAGGCAATAAGCCATGGTTACTTTAAAAATATTGAGAGTTGCCAAGTTTTTGTAATCAATATGAATGATGTTCTTGGTTTACAAATGAAGATACAATTGACAGGAATGTCTCCGGTGTATAGTTTTCTTTCAGAATCACGGGGCGGAGCAGGGAGGCGAGGGGGTTGCATTTTTATTTTTATATGTTAAAGGTTTTAACTCAGCGTTGCTTAGAAGCTTTAAAACTTCACACCTGAACAAAGGTCATTTAGCTTGAGCTGGACAGGAAGAGTTGCATGTGAACTGGGGCTTCCCCAAATGAAGGAGGTGATGCTGGAAAGAAAAAAAAATGGATGCAGAAGCTGCCCTAGAGAATGAGGAATAAAGCTAGATTGCCAATCTCTAGTTTGTGTGTATATTTTGTCTTAAATTTGTTTAAGCATTTGCAGAGTAATTTTACTAGGCAGCCTGCAATCACAAATCATCTAACAAGATGGCACTGGAAACATTCAGAGCAACAGGCTAATGAGATCCGATAACCAATGCCCCCAAAGTTGGTTCAAAACACTGGAGATATTAGACCTCAGGAATTCCTAAACTCCATCCCAGCCATAGCCCAAGTGTGCAGGGCACTTAGCGCATCTTTTCTTTTAAGAGGGGAAGAGAAGCGGCCTGTAGGTGTGGCAGCCGCCAATTCGAGTCGTCCGAGTAGAAGGGGGCCAGTTTGAAGCATAAGCCCAGGGCCTGAGCTGGACAGGCAGTCGAGCCCTGAGATCCACGGGGAGAGGAGCTCTTGGGTAACATCTGAGCTAGGGGTAAGCAACTCTGGTGGTTTGTGGAAGGGACTAAGAGGAGGCAAGGAGGTCCCCAGCTGGCCCAAACGGAGAAAGGAGCCAGAGAGCCTGGAGACTGGCAGCCCAGGAGGGGGTGCCAGCAGGGTCAGGGATCCCATAGGTCTCACTGGCCCAGGAGCAGGGCCAGGGCCCAGAGATAAGCTGAAGACTGAGAAGGGCCACGGCTGAAGACTGGTGGGGCCAGGGAGCCCAGGAGTCTCAACTGGCCTAGCGGCAGGGCCAGGACTCAGGCCCAGAGAGAGAGGCCAAAGACTGGAGGTCACAACCAGAGACTAACGGGGTGAAGGAGCCTGCAGCCCAAAAGGGGTGAGGACTGGGGCTGAGAGCCTGTAGCTCAGGTGGGGCATATGTATCATTTGCAAGACGTGGGTGTGGTGTAAGGGGCAGTCAGAGCCATGTAATTAGCTCTTAATGTGAGTGGAAGGGGAGGTTGCCCAAAAGAGAGCAAAGTTGATAAGGGCTGAGGGGGCTCCAGGGGCATTAGTCACCCATGCAGCAGGACCCTTTCACACTAAGGGATGCCAAGTTTTAGAATACAGTTGGCTAACAACTATTTCTGAGATCTGCTGTACCATAGGAAGATAAACAGTGACCGAAGAGGAAATTTGAACGTGAGTGTGCCTGTGCCAGTCTTGTAGTTGGTAGGGTTGGAAGGGACCTGAGATCATCAAGTCCGACCCCCTGCCATGGCAGGAAAGAGTACTGGGGTCAAACAACCCTGGGCAAGGTGTTCATCTAACCTCCTCTTAAAGACCCCCAGGGTAGAAGCCAGCACCACTTCTCTTGGAAGTTGGTTCCAGATCCTAGCTGCCCTGACAGTGAAGTAGCGCTTCCTGATGTCTAGCCTGAATCTACCCTCTGCCAGCTTGTGACCATTATTTCTAGTCACCCCCTGTAGTGCTTGGGGGAACCTGCTTTTACCAATGCTATGTTACAGAGTATCTTGGCATTTTGGATATTGTTTCTTGTGATGGTGACTGAGGGTTTAAATTGGGAACTTGGGGGATACTTAATGACCAGATGTAATGACCCAGAAAGCTCCTTCTTGTGTGTCCCTAAGAAATCTGCTGTTTCTGTACCAGGTTGATTACAGGCATATGAGAATTGCAGGCACAAATATATCTGAGTGCAGAATTCAACCCTACATATTTCAGTAAATTGAGAATAGATGAACGAAGTAAAATATATTTTAAAAAAATGATTAATTCCCTTGGTATTTGGAGGGTAGTTTCAATTCACAGAAATGTTTTAAAGAAATAATTAAAAACATTGAAAGCTCAATTACACGAAGGAAGGTCAGCATGAAGTGCTGATTAACTCTAAAACCAAGGGTCAGGAACAGACGAGTCATAATCTTTCTATCACATTATGTCACTTCTCATACAGGCAAAAGCTCTTACCGAACAATGCTGGAACATAGATGTATACTCCTGTAGTACCCCCTGCTGACCAAACATGATATTGAAGAATATACAGAAAGGGGGCAGGTTAGTCTCAGAATAAATCAGAAACCAGATTACATTTTTGAAAAGGTAATCATTTATCTTTCACTTGAATCAGTCCAACTGAGACCCAATAACATGCATTTGGGGTGTAGTCGCTTTTTAATAAGGGGAAAAAAATAACTTAGGAGCATGTAAATGCCCATTTTCACATTACATCATTTCTCACAAGAAAGTTCTCATTTAAACTGATGTTGGAATTCCAAATCTTGTTAAATGTACTGGTGGTAAAGGGTGACAATTGCTATCTGAAATATCAGAATGAATGCTAGGGATTTGAGTGTTATTGGACGTGGGCAATCACTTATACTGGAACTAAGGGGCACATCTCTGGGCACTTTTACATGTGCTCCTAATGCAGCTCTGGGTGCTTTTAATTAGCAATCTGCGCTAATTAAAAGCACTTGTGTATCACGTCAGTGGTGCAGTGCGTCCATGCACTGAGAAAATGGCAGTGGGGTGCTTTGAACTAAAGCACACAGAACTTGTTTTATTTCAAAGTGCACTGCTGCCATTTTCTCAGTGCGGAGACGTGCTGTGCCGCTGATGCACGTGATGTGCGAGCCTGCCAGAGCATGTCAATTTATGTGCTCCAGCAGATTTGACTGAGTCTGAACCAATGTGCTGGATTTCCAGTGCATCTGAGTAGGCTCCTGCATGTGTGCAAGTGCCCAATATGTGCACTTTAATGGGCATTACTCTATTTTAATACACATTAAAGTGTCACAAAAACGTGCTCTTTCACTAATGCGCATTAAAATAGACTAATGAACATTTTCTAATACTTCACCATGACGGTACTAGATTTAATGCACATTACCTAAAGCGGATTACTGAATGCATAGATGTGCCCAAGATGACACACAAATAATTAAGGTAGGTGAAAAGGTTCCTTATTATAAAACTCTTTATAATAAGAGATGGGACAAATCTAAAAGCTTGTGCACCTGCCTCTCCTGCAAGGCTCACTTTGTGAGAGTATTTATCGAGGGCTAACACACGATACACATCTCAAGTTATACCTCATGGAACACCTACATTTTCCTTTCTATTCATGATTCCATAAACCAATTTCTTTATCCACTGATGAGTGAAACACTCCCCCACCCCCCACTCCCTTATAGCACCCCCTACAGCAATAGCTGATACAAAAAATAATCTATTAGGAATGCACTTAATGTGATTTACCAACAAGGGAAAAGAGGCGGAATGATAATAATATGTTTGCTGGCTCTTAAATATTATGGGCAGTATAGGAACCAATGAATTAAAACATTAACCAAATGCTCATTTCTGTTAAGGAAACAAGACATATAATTTTTATTTTTACTGACATACAATAAATATAATACAGAACAAAAACATCACACCGATTGTATTACACAAGCTGTTCATTAGAATACATAATATTTTCTTTTCATTAGCCCTTTTATAGGGTTTTGGTATTGGATAGTATTAAAAATTCCAATTTAAATCTGTCAACACAACAATCTTTTCTCATTTTCATCATTATATATTTCAAATAATCATACATACTTTGATTTTTTTTAAAAATATATAAGCAGTGTTTGAAATTCCTAATATATGCCTATACTTCTTAGACCTCTACTCATACCATCCAAATTCCAAAATAATTAATTAATAGTTTAATCTGATTTTAATTTTTGTGGTTTAAAAAATACAACACTATGCTATTTGTTTAATTTAACTGACGTCCCTCAGAAAATGAAGCAACAGACAAAGGAACTCCATGCTAAAGCCAGTATTTTCTCATAAAAAGTAAAGGCAAGTCTCTGCTTCACTAGTATAGAGTCTGGACTAAATGGGGAGCATAATTTGGTAATCAAGCAAGGAACTGGAGGTATAGTTCCCATAGGAGACATACATCTTTATGTCAATTTCTAGTGCCATCCTGCTGCTTTCTTGGTTTTAAATCACTGCGTCAAGTCAGTATATTTTTCTCTCCATGCATATATTCATCACTGACTGGAAATCAGATAAAAATGCTACATTTCTGTTTATCAAAAATAGATCAAGGTTTAAAACACTTTGAAACTAGGATTTATTTAAGTGCAAATGCAATATGCATCAGTGACCAGCAATTGAGGCTCTAGTCTCACGAAGGAAAGTGTGTTACAAAATTATGGTGACACAAAAATATTTTATAGAAGATGTGTACCTACAACTTCTGTGCTTTTGAAACATCTGAATAATTAGGAACCTCTAAACACTTCATACAAAAATGCACAGTATCTTCATCACTTAAATCTAGTGGTTTTGCGACACTCAAGAGTGGCTGTCTGCTTTAAGTCTTGTTTCTCAAATAATTTCAGGATGCACAGAGCTCAGTTTTATTACAACATTTTAATGCCATAATCTGAAGCAAAAAAATTTCCAGTTAAAAATTATGGGTTTTGATCATCTTTAAATTCTAAAAGATTTGAAAAGGTTAGTTAGCCACCTGTTATCACAAAAAAAAAAAAAAAAGGCTAAAAAAAAATGTTTTGGAAATAAGCTCACCTTTTACATCTCTACCTCAAAAATGAGTCAAGCTATCAAACCTGAAGTCGCTACCAGGAATCACTCGGCTATCACGAGCCAGCGCTAAAATCAGATCTACCTTGAGTTCAACATGGAAGTCAACAAAAGGTTGATTAAGTGACTATGTTTAATGTAAGTTTGTTTAAACTGCCTCTCCCAATTTGGTATTGACTTTTAAGCCTAAATGCACAGGACATTTACTAGCAATTGGATCACAGTTTTATCTATCAGGTCGCTTTAAAACGGAATCAAAATTTCTTAGCATGTGCATGGTCTAATCAAAGTACTTCCAAGCCTTTCACAATCTGCAATTAAACAATTAAGATTCAAAGGTCAGATTTCAGCATTGTTACTCAGTTAACTCTAGAGCACTCACTGAACTAGTACCCACATTCTGTGTTAAATAAGTTTTCAATGTCAAATGGAGACGGGCCTATTAACCCAGGATACAGTTATTGCCAAGTTAACAGCAAGCATTCCTAATTAGAACTGTTGTTTTAATGAGTTCTCCTCTCACCATTTTGCAGCTAAAAGATGTTCAACAAAGTTGTGATCTGTCCAATGAATTTTTAAAACTTATTTTTACTTTTTAAAAAAATGAAACCCCTTGCCTGGTGTGAGGCTGGATTCCTTCTCCCCCTTCTATTTCTGAATGTAGAAGACAGGAGAAAAAATAATTTTATCATTTAATTCTTTTAACAATTACTCATTAGGCAAGGCAAATCTCCCTCTAAAACAATAGGTCAGGTTTATAAGGGCAGTGATAAAAAGGATGGAGTAATTGGAAAGAGTGGCTATGTTTGTTGTCAAGAGCTGTAAAATGTTAGGCTGCAACTAATGAGCATGTAGGGATTTGCATGTTATACACTTAGTGCTAGGCTAGATGCCCTCAGCATGAGACTAGGTATTTTTATAACAGAACAACATCAAATTGTGCATCAATAACCATACAAACGTCCCTGGCATCATATTTACTTTGTGGGATATTCACATCTTTGCGGCGCATTCCCAGCCAAAATGCTCAAGGTGCACAGCAACAAAAATAACAAAACAAAACAAAAAAGAAAACAAACCCAGCACTAATATAAAACAAAAATTCATTTTTTTGTTACAGAAGCACAGCAATTGTAAGGAAGGTAATAAATGAACGACTAATAGCTGCCTTTCTACAGAACCCTTTTTTGGAGAAGAAGAAAATGATTGTTTTTAAAGGATCACTGGATTTTTTTTTACTGCATTAAGACCCACTGGGTGATACCATGCAATATTTTAATAAAGAATATTCCAAAGGTAAACCGTATGTGGAAATACTGTACAGAAAGAAAGATCAAACTGATTGAGATAGCCTTTCAGTATGTCCTTTGCAGACGTTACTTAAATCAGTTACTTAGACCATGTTACTTAGCTGTGATTAAGACCAGTTAATTGTATCGTATAGTGTTGCCTGGCCACAAATTCAGGTGATTAATGGCACAACAAAAAGCAAAGAAAGCCACAACATTTATTATGAAAAAATGTGTAATAAAATTTGTGGCTGATTTCAAATGGCAGATGAATGTGTGGCCAGGTTCTAATGGCTCTAATGGCCTCCAGTGTGGTCCCTGCAAGTCACCGATCAGCTGATCAGGGACTGGCCCTGGGGGATCAAACTGGCCCAGTCAGTCTCTAGAGCCAACTGACAATCAGCTGGCTGCTGGGCATCTTTTCCTGTCCAGAGGGAACCTGGGATCACGATCCTGGGTTCTGTCTGTACTAGCCAATAGGGCATGATTGGGGTCTCATCCCTGATCCCAAAACTGTGCATGCCGCCAAGCATGTTTAGAATAGCAAGAGGCATGATTTTGGAGATCACAGATCAAATCTCAACACACCTTTACCAAAATGTGTGTCAGCAGCCAGTAGGTCTGACTGGCCATGCAATGGCTCCTAAAAACTTCAGTAGGCTTTAGATCAAATCTTAAGTTAGCTCAGGAAGTAACTCTGCTAAGAGAAAAATACACAAAAACTGAATGGTCTGTCCTTTGCAAAATTTCATTTATATTAAGGAATGTATTGGTGTTAGTACTTGGACACTAGCACTCCACTCCGGTATCAGGGATTCTGCCTCAGTTATGTCTTAGATTAGAACACCCTGAATATCAGCATCACTATACTACCACTGGTACACAGGCAGCTTTGGAGGGGGTGGAAATCAGCATGGTCCTATTAACTGCTATGTTATCCTGGGCAGATGATATAAGGTACAACCATGCAGATAAACCACATGAAGTATAAATCTATGTATGCAGCTGTTTTTCTGAAAGGAAATTAAACATGAAAGCTACGATATTAAACAGCTGAATGAAACTTACAAATGACTGCCATTTTGTTTTCAAATCACCCCATTTGGTATAAGTAATCACTTTGTGCTCTGTAGAAAATCATTTCCATTTCTCTCAGAGATAATGCCACGAGACATTTTATATACAGCACAAAGAACTAGTAGTGTTGCTTCAGCAGTGTTGGGAGGCAGGAGAAACTGAACACACTCCCACACTCTACCTGCCACAGCCTGCCAGGAAATATTACGAGATAAAGCTTTGGCTGCAGCCTAAAATATAAAAAAAAACAACCTAACAAATAGCAGAGGCAACATATATTACGGTATACAGATCTTTTAAAAAAATGGTAATATCATAATAAGGGTTTACACTGGGATAAAAAATATGAATACAGTGTAGTCCTATCACTCAGCACTGCACTAGAAACCTTAACTCCTAACATTAACTTACTGCCTTTTAATTTTATTTAGAGTCACTGAAGCAATAAGAAATCAGCTAAGAGTCTATGTCTTCCTGAGGCTATTTCAATGCTAAATTAGACTTTGCATGCATAAATTCACCTTGCATCCAACTGGTTTTCTAATCCTTTCTCTTCTTGTAACTTAAAATAGGCTCAGTGCAATTCACTTGTTTCTCCAAGACAGATGTCTCTTTTAAATAGGGATCAAAAATTGCAAAATTCAACATAATCAGCATTTTCTTCAAAAAAAATTATAAATATGGAGCCAGGTGTCACAAAGTTGTCACTCTGACACCTTAATTAAAGCAATTACTACAGTAAACAGCAATACCTAGGCACAGTTGGGATAAGCAAAAGACAGAATGGCAATTATAATGGCATAAGGCAAGGAAAATCAATCATCAGACTCTAACTTTTCTTGCCTGGCATGTTAAGAGAGGTATGCAATGCAAATAGTTATAGCTACATGCAGTGCATACAACAGGTGCAGTGTCAAGTATCACATGCCCAACATGTTCAATACTGTATTTTCAGCCTTCACTTTAAAATGCCCTTGTGCATTTTAAAGGATGTGGTCACTGAAGACACAAGTCCAGCAAAGTATTGAATCATGTGTGTGACACTACATCGGGGTTACTCAGGTGCTTGAGATCACACGTGTTTAAGTGCCTTGCACTGCAGACACAAGCAGTAAGAAGTTAATGCAATTTTCTGTATCTAATGGATCAAGCTGAATGTAACACAAAAGCTGGATTGCAAAGCACTATATTATATAGTTCACAAGACTCTCATCAGACTCCTAAATTCTCAGATTCATTCTGTGACATTTTAGAAAAATAAGTTAATGTAAAAACATCTTCATGTGTAGAAAAGATGATAATTATTTAGCTGCCTCATAGGGATGTTACAAAAATGAGTTCATTGCTAGGCAGACCTTACACACGTGGCATTCTTTTTCTATTTAGGCATATATGGGAATCACTGCTCTTCACGTGTGCAACAGCATTCAAAGTAATGCTTAATTCAAAGTTAGAAGATTAGGATCCATTAAGTGTATGCACTTCCTACAGGAAATAAGTCAGAATCAAGACATTAAAGTGAAACAGAACATTGTCCAGTTATGCCAGCACACAATGATGATGCAAAATTTAAAACAAGAGAATTCCTTCACATTACTGTAACAAGAAACTGATTCCAGTTGCATGTCATGTAAAAAATATTCAGCATGTCACCACTATATCAGAGGTACCTGAGATTCAAAGCTAAATCTCTTGTGCATTTTCCAAGCACCTATTATAGAAAGCTACAAGATTTACATTTCTAACAAGACAGTATATTTATAAAAGGTGTTCTTGTACTAAAAATCACAAGTTGATATAGAAAAAGTCTCATCACATTCTATTAAATGCAGGTGCGATGTAACATGTCATAACATAGCCTCAGTAATTAATACTGTAATGTATAGCTCTTGTAACTTAGGGGCACCATTGTTTAAAAAAAAGTAAGGCCTTCCAGGAACAATTTATTTTATATTTTACATACCACTCCCAATAGCTTAATCAAAATATTTATGAAGTCACGTCAGATATTTAATGCTTTTCCTTTCTTTTTTTTTTTTTTTTTTTTTTT